TCTCCAGGGACCCCCGTGGGCCGAAGGCTCCGGCTGTCACGGCGCATTCACGTTCCTCCGTGTGCCGGGATGGAAAGGCCTGCTGTGCCCGAGGCTCTTGCAGATCGACCAGGGGAGGGAGGGCGGCGGGAGAGACGGGGCAGGACCCTGGCTGGCGTTTGGAGAGCGGGCGGTGACAGAGCCCAGCTTGTGCTCCTAGGGGCCTGGCACATCCCGCAGAGTTTCCCAGGGACATCTCATTAAGCTGCCCCCGCATCGGCTCTTGCGGTGCTGAAGGCACCTCTCTGATTCTGTTGTGTGCCACGGCTGCCTCATCTGGGGACTCCTGCTTCAGCAACTTCCGCCTTGTCCGTGGCAGCCCGGGCCCCTGCGCAGCTTCTCTCCGGGACACGGGAATTCTGAGTCCCCTTTCAGAGTAAACCATCTGGCACCTCACTGGAAAACTGGAGGCAAAGGCTCTTGCTCCGCCCTCCCTCTTCCCCTCAAAACCCCCATTCTCCGAGAGAACCTGCGGAGGGCACTTGTGCAGTCAGTCGCCTTCTGACGTATGCCCGCCGGTGCCAGCTGGTCACTGCTTCAGGGGCTTGTGCCAACACCACGCTCAGCAGGCCATTGGGACCTGGCGGGCATCGGGCGCTGTCAGCTCCGCCTCTTCCCAAGGAGCCCTTGGGGCCGGGGCGTGAGTCGACGTGCGTCGGCAGCTCGGAGCTGTTTCTTTGTGGTCTGTTTCCATGTTGGTCACTTGTTCTGTGCTTGCTAGAGAGTGAACACAATGGGGTACGCTTTGGAATCTGTGTTTAATCTTTCCACTGCCTCTTTTCCCAGGAGCCTCAAACGACGGTTGTCCACAATGCCACCGATGGCATAAAGGTAAGGGGCGTGTCCTTCTGTTTCCTTAGAGAAACCCCCCGGCCCTGTTCCTGCACCCCGGTGGTGCATCATGGGCTGGCTGTGAACAGTCGCTCCGGCATGGGGAGGGTTGTGCTAGGTGACTGTGGACCTCCAGGACAGTTGGGCAGGGATCCCTACTAGCTCCCACGTCAGCGTTCCTGACCTAGATTGCAAGATGCCCCCCATGAGTGTGCACCTGGTGAGCAAGGGGCCTCTGAAGACCAGTTCCTACAGCCGGTACAGTTGTAGGTGACCCCATTTCCCTTCTCTTGCCTCACGTGAGAGCTCTGCCCAGGCGAGAGCGGAGTTGTAAACTCCCAGGGCTTAGTGCTGCCTTCGGTCATCCCGTTCCTGCCCCCTCCTCGCATCCCACTCCCCCATTCTCCCGCAGACCACACACCACTGACCTGCATCTGCAGCAGGGGGCTGTGCCCACAAAAGCTCGCGATCCTGTCTACGTGGTTTGTTCGTCTTTAAAGTGCTGCCAGACTATTGGCTGTTGGTTAAGTTTTGCCTCTAGTGACGCTGTCTTGTGCCACGCAGGGTTCCACGGAGAGCTGCAACACCACCACTGAAGACGAGGATCTGAAAGGTGGGTGACCTGCCAGTGCCCTCTGCCATTGGGCGATGGCCAGGAGCCTCTGGAGGGCCGGCCTGGCTCTGCGGGTGCAGAGTTCAGCATCCCTAGTGTGACACGTCTGGGTCGGCTTTGAGTTTGCTGTGGCTTTGTCTGCTGTGCTGTTGCAGCGGGGTCGTGGTCTGCACCAGGCAGTCTACTTGAAGGAAGTAGCCAGCCTGGCCCCGGGCAGTGGGTCTTGTTTGTCTCCTGGGGCATTGGAATCTCTCCGTTCCCGCCCCAGTCACAGGGCGGCACTCGCTCCATGTCTTCCTCTCTGCGGATCTGGACTCTAGCTGTCCTTTCTCTGTCAACGCAGCTTGAAGGGGACTGAGATTTCTGGTTTCACCTGCCCTCCGGGTTACTCTCTGCTTCTGCACCCATTTCTTTTGGCCAGCTGCCCTGTGCCTGGCCCAGCGCTCTGTTCGGTTTTCCCTTTGCAGTCCCGGGCTGTCCCAGCGTGGGGCACTTTCGAGGAGGGAGACTGTACGCCTCTCCGGCAGTCACGCTGTGCCACCCTTTCTCCTTGCGAGCCTGGCCTGCCGGGCCGTTTCCCGGGAGGTGTAAGTGAGCTGTGGAATTCCAGCCCCACTGGAGGGAGGTGGTGCTCTCCCTGGGAGCAGTGTCTCCTTTGGGGGAGAGGCCGTGGGAAGCAGTGAGGCACGGCCAAAGGGGGCTCGGCAGTCGGCCGGCTGCCTCATGACACGCTGTGCACCGACCTGCTGGCAGCCATTCTGGCGAGTCACAGCGACCCGGGGCACCTGCTGCTGGCTGGGGAAGCCCCCACACAACGGCC